TTTCTATCATCTGCTGGGGTAACAGTATTAGAGCTAATGACTTAAAAGGCTCAACAAGCTAAAAAAGAAGGCCAGCTCTGTTCATCTACAGTTGACCCTCTGGAGATTATTTTATAAGGAGGAATTCTTCATAGAAATCATGGACAACTGCAAATTTTCTCTTCTGGAGATTTTTAAACAAAAACAATGTGTTTTCAGTCAGAGACTTCTCCAGATCCAGTGCGAGACAGACTGCTACAGAAGATCCTTCCTGCCTACAGCTATTAACACCTACAACATCTGTTTAAAGAAATAACGTATCAGTTACTGCAATATTTAATTTCACTTTTGGATTAATTAATCATTTTTACAGTAATACCTTTTTCATTTCTACTGCTTTTATGTAGCATCTTAAATCTGTTATTTGCTTTCCTTCTCAAATAAATTTCACTTTCTTCCCTTCTCATCACCAAATCCAGTAATTAAACATCCTCTACATAATCTTGCTATCCTCGGACTTTGCTCTCTCTGAGCCCCAAGTAAGTCTACATTGTGACACACCTTGCATCCAAACTTTCTGCCTTGGCCAGTTGATCTGTGAGCAAAAATACTGAACTTGATCCTTTGACCATCCGCCTGGCTGCTGGTGATCCTGTCTTACATTTTTGTTGACTTCTCTTTTGGCAGCTAAATCAACAGCAAGAGGTGTTTGTGCAGTATCAGGTACCCAATGGAAGTGCATGTACTAACATTAGCTTGCTGAGTCAGTCCTCCCTCTTCATATGTAGAGCCAGAGGGCTGTTTGAGAGTGCTGCAGCTGCTGTCATCTAACTCTACTCCTGTTTGTGTCTTTTAACCCTCTTTGAAGCCAATTCAACATCATCCATTTTCCTTAACTTTTCCTGTTCTCTCCAACACAGATACACACCTACTGTACATCTACTTAGGCAAATGCACTAGAACAAAACAAACGGGCTATATGCTGTGAACTCTGAAGTGATGGTACTGAGTACCCTTCTGTACCGGCCCACTTAATGCACTGCATGGGTCCTATCCAACCAGATCACCCTCTTACACACTTTCTTCTTCTAAATATANCCAGAACCACAAATCCAGAGTGCAGGCGTAGTGCAGTCCCATCCAGACATAATCAGTTGTGGCTTTCTTAGCTTTCTCCTGGACTGAAGTTTGCTGAGTTTCGTTGGTGATGGTGACCAGGTCAACATGGTATTTTCTGCAGTAGTCTAAGGCATCCTCCCAGGATTTGTTTTCTTGGACTAGTATCACTTTATCTGCCAAAGAGGAGATAAACAATTTCTTGTTCAGTGGCTTTATTAATTAGTATTCGTAAACAATGACAAAAACGTTAATAAAAAAAATGCTTTGGTTTAAAACACTTTTAAATGAGAAAATTTCATCACTAGGTGCTCTGTTTAGCATTGTCAGCATACTGATATAAGATGTGTAACAAATGACCCCTTCTCTACCTCCACTCCAGCTGCATCCCGCCATGCCCCCCCCAACACTACCTACTGTAGAGCCGAGCAATTCATTGCATTTGTTAAATAATTTAAATTTAAAAACATGCAATTTTCAAACTAGAGATAGACTAATTATTGATCTCATTTAACAGGATTAATACACCGATTTTCTACCTTGGATTCACACAGAAGGAAGAGGGAGTTGCAGCTTGCACACAGATTCATGTATGCGAATAAAAATAAACACTTTTCTACAAAATGATTACAGGAAAATCCTCCAACAGTGGAGTCTGCACAAGAAAAATTTCAAGTTCATGAAAAGACTTAAACCCAGAAATTAATCATCTACATGTTGGTGGTCGGTGAAAAGGAGAATAAAAATATATAAATAACAATCACAACACTGGATAAAGAGATATTCACTTTGTTCAGCCTGACAATCAATCATGTCTTGTAATGAACTCATAATCTAATGCTGATACCAAGAGAGCTTCATTATGGTAGGTGATTGTCTTCAGGTGAGCGTTTTCATCGACACATTTTTCTAATTTGTTTTCTTACTATCTCGAATAATAAATTATTGTTATTGTTCCTTTAAATAATGGATGCTGATGTATGAATGTCTTTTTTGAAAATTGATATTACCATCAAGAGCTAAATCATACATAATAGATAAATAAATAATATATTAAAATCAGAAGAGGCGTCTAAAAAAATCTCACCATCATAACAGATGAAGGGTTTTTCCAGATTACAGCTGTCAGTCTTCCATCTGCCTTCATCATCAATCCCAGCCACGGTACATTGACCAGTATTGTATTGCTGATTGTTTAACTGGTCATTCCAGTGTCTCAAAGAGAAACTGCTTCCATCTGACCACCTCCAGGTGTCTCTGAACAGACCAAAGTATGTTTTATTATCTGCAGACTTCATCACTTCCTTCAGTTCTTCATCCTGTAGCTGCTTCATTCCACTGATCAGGTCTGTGTGTTTCTCTCTGCAGTAACTCTGAGCTTTCTGCCAGGTCTTCTTCTCTCTAATCAAGTGGTATTTCTGGGCTCTATTAGTTTCTGTGGAGTAAACAGATAAACTCAGATCACATTGACTTTACATGTTTTCTTGCTTGTAGGAAAAATACTAAATAAAACAAAGAGAATAATTTGAGAACCCATAAACAAACTACAGAAAATTAAATCATTCTCACCATCATAACAGAGGAAATGGTATGTATTATGGCAACCAGTATCTATCCATCTAAGGCCATTATTTAAATATCCACAGTTCTCATTTCCATTATTGACATCACTTGGTTCTCCTCGGTTCCAGTTTGTCTCCCTTTCATTGAACTCCACTCCAGGCAGAGACCAGTACCATGTTCTGTCACCATCTCTCTGAGCATACAGACCAATCCAAACATCCCTCTCATATCCTGCTCTGGTACTGTTGAGTCTCTTCATGGCTGCCATGTTAGACACTGTGGCCAGGTCAGTGTGTCTCTCTCTGCAGTACTGCTGAGCTTCAGTCCAGTTCTTTTCCTCATTAATGTAGAGATACTCATAGAGATGACAGTTGATGAAAAAACTCTGACCTGAAAATATAAAAATGTTGCTGTATTTAGCACTAGATTATAAATCTCCACCAGCATTTGCAATAAATCTTAGTTTAAGTTTTTTGAGGTTTATAGGGCTGAAGTAGCTGAGGGGAGGTTGTCTTGTATTAAAGGTCGGTTGTCATTGTTGCAACCCAGTCACATGGGAAAATGTACTCCCACTACGTTGGTCCACACTGCAAAACGTAGTGGAGGTACATTAATGGCCATTTTTTGTGGTACTGTTAC